TCTTGGACCTAAAGAAAGTGAGGCAATAACAAGGAAACATTGTCTCTGTTGTGGATTTGAGTGAAAATAGTAAGATGTAGGGAGCAACGACTACCTCTACAGCTAAGGCAGAGTACCCAGGAAAGGAACAAACTTGGAAGAGAGCTGCCCAGCCCACGGCTGAGATTCAGACCTCAGTGCAGAGGGTGCAGCTGTGCTCCACTGGGTGGGAGAGAAGGTGACACAGACCAGCGCTGGCAGGCAGGAAACTGTCCGGTGAGGTGCCAGCTAGACTTGTCTGGAAACCACCTGTTGGGGTGCCAGAAAAACTCACTGGGAAGCCACCTGCTGGCATCCACATCAGTGGAACAAGAAGGAACCAGGAAGAGAAGTCCCTTCCTTTTGCAATGTCCCTCCAGCAACCTCTTCTGGCAAGATCTAACCTTGCGTCTGTTGACAAAGGAGAAATGTTTATAAGGTCAAGCTCTAGGACAGAGAAGGTAGGATTTGGAGTGAACAGCAATAAATTGCATAATAAGGACAGAGAAGGTAGGATTTGGAGTTGAGCAGCAATAAATTGCATAATAACTGCATAAATACCTAAATGCGAAAAGCAAAACCATAAAGCTTTTAGAAGACATTATAAAAGAATAGCTTCATGGTCTTGGTGTTATTAAGACATCTACAGCACCAACCATAAGGAACTGATTGATCATTTCACTAAATGAAAATAAACTCCTGTTTAACAAAAGTCACATTAAGGCAGTGAAAAATGAATCCTAAGAGTGGGAGAAGATATTTGTAGCATATATAAGCAATAAAGGACTAGTATCCAGATAATACGGAGAGCAGGATGTGGCAGGTGTATTTTCCAAACACAGCAGCAGCAGCAATGCCTCCCATTTCAGGTGCTCCTGTATGATGTGACCCTGACATTCCTCCCATTGAGAGGTAAGGGTTATGTCTGGTCCCCTTTAGAGATTCACTTGTAACCAACAGAATGCAACAGAAGTAACACTGCATGACGCCAAGGCAATACAGCTGCCTGGTTTATGTGGCTCACTCACCTTTTGAAGCCTTGAGCTGACATGTAAGAATTCTGACTACATTGAGGCTAGTTCTTTTTTTTTTGTTTTTTTTTTAAGACAGAGTCTCACTCTGTTGCCCAGGCTAGAGTGAGTGCCGTGCCATCAGCCTAGCTCACAGCAACCTCACACTCCTGGGCTCAAGCAATCCTCCTGCCTCAGCCTCCCGAGTAGCTGGGACTACAAGCACGCGCCACCATGCCTGGCTAATTTTTTCTATATATTTTTAGTTGGCCAATTAATTACTTTCTATTTATAGTAGAGACAGGGTCTCACTCTTGCTCTGGCTGCCCACCTCCTCCTCCCAAAGTGCTAGTATTATAGGCGTGAGCCACCACACGCGGCCTGAAGCTAGTTCTTAAAGAAGCACAGATCACATGGAGAAGCCCTATGAAGGTATTCCAGCCAACTGCCCAAGTGAGATCCCAGACAATAGGCGCATCCACCACCAGACATGTAGCAAAATACAACCAGATAATTTTACCCCTCAACCACTGAGTCACCCCAGATGTTGAGACTCACCCGCTGAAGTCCCAGATACAGACACAAGCCATACCTACTGTGTCCTGCCTAAGTTCATGAACCACAGAGTCTATGGGCCTAGTAAAATTGTTGTTTTATGCCACTAAGGTTTGAAACGATTTGTTATGTAGCAATAGTTAACTGGAACATCTTACAAGTCAATATAAAAAAGAACAAGAAAATCCAATAGGAAAATGTCACAAATGAGGAAATCCAATAGGCAATAAACTATGAAAGTTGGCCAACCTCATCGGTAATTAGGAAAATGCAAATTAAAGCTACAGTGAAAAAACGGAACACCCAGATATGCAAAGCAAATATTATCAAAGCTGAAGAGAAAGATAGAGCCCAGTACAATAATTGTTGGAGCTCTCAACACACCACTTTCAGCATTGTGCAGATTATCTAGACAGAAAATCAACAAAGAAACATTGGACTTAGGCTGCACTATAGGTGAAATGGACCTAATAGATATTTATAGAACATTTCATCCAACAGCTGCAGAATATACATTCCTCTCCTTGGCTCATGTATCATTCTCAAGGATAGACCATATGTTAGGCCACAAAACAAGTTTTAACATTTTTTAAAAACTTGAAATTATATCAAGTATTTTCTCTGACCACAAGGGAATAAAACTAGAAATCAATAACAAGAGGAACATTGGAAAATATACAAATACATGGAAATTAAACAATATGCTCCTGAATGACCAGAGGGTCAATGAAGAGATTAAGAAGGAAATTTAAAAATGTTCCTAAACAAATGGAAATGAAAACACAACATATCAAAACCTGTGGTGGCCGGGCACCGTGGCTCACACATGTAATTCTAGCACTTTGAGAGGCCGAGGCGGGAGGATTGCTCTAGCCCGGGCAACAGAGTGAGACTCTGTCTCAAAAAATAAAATAAAATAAAATACCTGTGGGATATAGCAAAAACAGTACTAAGAGTATAATTTGTAGCAATAAGTGCCTACATCAAAAAAATACAAAAGTTTCAAATAAACAACTTAACAATGTGTCTTAAAGAACTAGAACAACAAAGCAAATCAAACCCAAATTAGAAGAAAATAAATAATAAAGATCAGAGCAGAAATAAATGAAACTGAAACTAAAAAAATACAAAAGAGCAATGAAATGAAAAGTTGGTTTTTGAAAAGATAAATAAAATTGACATACTTTTAGCTGGACTAAGAAAAAAAAAGACTCAAATAAATAAAATCAGAGGTAAAAAAGGAGATATTATAACTGATACTGCAGAAATTTGGTTTCAGCCTCCCAAGTAGCTGGGACTACAGGTGTATGCCACCATACCCGGCTAGATTTTTCTATTTTTAGTAGAGAGGGGGGTCTCATTCTTCCTCAGGCTGGTCTCCAACTCCTGAGCTCAAGCAATCCTCCCGCTTTGGCCTTCCAGAATGCTAGGATTACAGTCGTGAGGCACCGTGCCCAGCCTGTATGTCTTCTTTTGAGAAATGTCTATTCAGATCTTTTGCCCACTTTTAAATGGATTACTTGATTTTTTTTTCTATTGAGTTGTTTGAGCTCCTTATATATTCTAGTTATCAATCCTTTGTCAGATGGGTAGTTTGAAAATATTTTCTCCCATTCCGGGGGTTGACTCTTCACTTTGCTGATTGTTTGCTATGCAGAAACTTTTTAGTTTGATGTCCCATTTGTCCAATTTTGCTTTTGTTGTCTGTGCTTTTGGTGTATTACTCAAGAAATTATTGCCCAGACCAATGTCCTGGAGCATTTCCCCCATGTTTTCTTTTAGTAATTTCATAGTTTTAGGTCTTAGATTTAAGTCTTTAATCCATTTTTATTTAATTTTTATGTATGGCAAGAGATTAAGGGTCTAGTTTCATTCTTCTGCATATGGACATCCAGTTTTCCCAACACCATTTGTTGAAGAGACTGTCCTTTCCTCACTGTATGTTCTTGGCATGTTTGTTGAAAGTAAGTTCACTATAGATGTTTGGATTTATTTCTGGATTCTCTATTCTGTTCCGTCTCAAAAAAAAAAAAAAACAAGAAGAAGAAGAAGACATACAAATGGCCAACATGTATGTGAAAAAATGTGCTCAACATCATTAGTCATCAGAGAAATGCAAATCAAAACTACAGGGCCGGGCTGGCTCACACCTGTAATTCTAGCACCCTGGGAGGCTGAGGCAGGCAGATTGCTTGAGGTCAGGAATTTGAAACCAGCCTGAGCAAGAGCGAGATCCTGTCTCTACTATAAATAGAAATAAATTAATTGGCCAACTTATATATATATAGAAAAAATTAGCCGGGCATGGTGGCGCATGCCTGTAGTCACAGCTACTTAGGAGGCTGAGGCAGCAGGATTGCTTGAGCCCAGGAGATTGAGGTTGCTGTGAGCTAGGCTGACGCCACAGCACTCACTCTAGCCTGGGCAACAAAGTGAGACTCTGTTCCCAAAAAAAAAAAACTACAATGAAAAAAAACTACAATGAGATATCATCTCATTCCAGCTAAAATGGCTTTTATTAAAAACACAAGCAATAATGAATCCTGGCAAGGATGTGGAGAAAGGGCAACCCTCATACACTGTTTGTAGGAATGTAAATTAGTGCAATCACTGTGGAGAACAGTGTGGAGGTTCCTCAAAAAACTAAAACTACCAAATGACCCAGCAATTCTACTGCTAGGAAAATATCCAAAAGAAAGGAAATCAGTATATTGAAAAGATATATGCATTCTCATGTTTGTTGCAGCACTATTCACAATAGCCGAGATTTGGAATTAACCTGTGTCCATCAACAGATGAATGAATAAAGAAATGTGGTACATATACACAAAAAAGAATGAAATCTTGTCATTTGCAACAACATGAATGGAACTGGAAAACATTATGTTAAGTTAAATAAGCCAAGCACAGAAGACAAATATCTCATAATTCTCCTTCACATGTGGGAGCTAAATATTAAAATAATTGATCTCATGGAGACAGAGTAAAATGATGGTTACCAGAGGTTGGGAAGGTCAGCAAGTATGGGGGACAAAGTGGAGATAATTAACGGGTGTAAAAATATAGTTAGATCGATAGAATGAATAATATTTGATAGCACAACAAAGTGACTATCGTCTACAATAAGTTGTAGTTATACTATGAAATAACTAAAAGAGTACAGTTGTAATGTTCCTAACACAAAGAAATGATAAATGCTTGAGGTGATGGATACCTCAATTATCCTGATTTGATTAATCCACATTGTGTGCCTGTATCAAAACATCACAGGTAACCTATAAACATATACAACTATTATGTACCCATAATAATTAAAAATAAAAAGAAATTTTAAAAATGAAATACACCCAACAAAGTGGCAAAAACTTTAAAGCCTGACATCTCAAGAGGCTGTGAAGAAGTGGAGTAACAGGAATTTTCTTTGCCTCGATCCTCTTGAAAGCAGAGCCTGAGACAAGGATTATCGTGTTAAGGCTTGATATGGGATGTGCCAGCTCAGGGCAGGAGGGTGAGGGAGAAAAATGTAACACAATGTGATATGTCACTGTCCTGGTTGTTGCCGTGCAACAAGCTTCCAAGAGACACAGCAGGTTGTTCATTAAACATGGTCATGTTTCATGTGGGAAGGGTTGCAAGGGGGAACCACACTTCAGAATAGAGAAAGGAGGGGAAATGTATCTTTCTGGCTCTTTCTCTTCTCCTGTTTCCATTAGTCAAGGTGTACATCACATGCAGTGATTCCCCTGCACTTCCAGCTTCCACGTTTCCGTGCTTCCCCTGGCCCTCTGGCAGCTCTCCATGGTGTGGATTTCTTCCAAACCTGAAAGTGGACAAGTGACCAGGTGCTTAGAAAGAGAAAGAGAGAAAGAAAAGAAGGTGGTTGAAGGAATCTGAGAAAGTACATGAGGTTTGTTGTCACAGTAAAAGATATTCACACACACACTAATGGGATACTGAATTGGTATAACCACTTTAGGACAAAAAATTGGTGGTATCTGGGAAAGTTGAAGATGGACATATCCTGCAATCTGACAACTCTACTCCTAAGTTCATACCTTTTAGGAATGTGTGCACAAATCCACAGAATGAGATCACATGAACAAAAATGTTCACACCAACTTATTTGTCGTGGTCAAAACTGGAAGTAACCCAGATGCCCATCAACAAAAGAATGAGCAAATAAGTTGTTGTTTGCTCTTCCCATGTTATTCTACCATACACATGAGTCACAGAAATAAATTTGTTTCATAATTTATAGGAAATTGGAAAATATCTGTAAATCTGAAGGACCTTGGTTAATATGGACCTTGAACAAAATAGGATTCTCAGAGGTGAGTGTCAAATTGGCAATGCATATCCAAATGTTGTCCAAAAGAGAAAGCAACTTGGCCCAAGGACTCTATTTGCTTGGTCTTAATGACAATATATCCCTGTTCTAGAAACATTTATTGGATTTTGATTCAAACAAATATTCTTATAAGTCAAATTTATATACAACAGTGATGGTAGCAAATTTACAAAACCACACTCATCTTGATTTTATTCTAGCCAAGAAAAAAGGGGCTTGTGCCCTCCTTGGTAAAGAACACTACTATGCATTCCAGAAAATTCCAGAGAAAAAGTATCAAGCACCAGATTGAGAATTGAGATCTATGATCTTGTGTTGGTATCTTACTAAGAGAACTAGGAATAAAATGACATAAGGAATCATAATTATATTGGGAACAATAGTTTTGTTTATATGCCACACTAACTAGTATATAAACATATGTATGTACATATATGTATATGTGTGTATTTCTATACATATTCTTATCCAGCCGTGACTAGAAGGGTCACAACTTGGTATAGAGGAAAAAGCTTGTAAAGAGGCCAAAATTGTGAATGTTCTCACCACAAAGAAATGATAACTGTGTGATGTGATGAATATGCTAATTACTCTGATTCAGTCATTGCATAAGGCCTACATGTATTATAACATCACATCGTAGGCCGGGTGCGGTGGTTCACGCCTGTTATCCTAGCACTCTGGGAGGCCAAGGCAGGCGGATTGCTCAAGGTCAGAAGTTTGAAACCAGCCTGAGCAAGAGCGAGACCCCATCTCTACTATAAAAATAGAAAGAAATTAATTGGCCAACTAATATATATATAGAAAAAATTAGCCGGGCATAGTGGTGCATGCCTGTAGTCCCAGCTACTCGGGAGGCTGAGGCAGCAGGATTGCTTGAGCTCAGGAGTTTGAGGTTGCTGTGAGCTAGGCTGATGTGATGGCACTCACTCTAGCCTGGGTGACAAAGCAAGACTCTGTCTCAAAAAAAAAAAAAAAAATCACATTGTACCCCATAAATATGTACATTATGTGTCAAGAGAGGACAAAAGTCTCAAGAACCTGGAAGCACTTTGTTTATTCAAGTGCTGGCTGATAATTTCTTTTTTTGACGGTAAGATAAAAAAGGATACAGAGTAGTTATCACCTGGCAGGCAAACCAAAAAGCCTTCTTAGCTGACTGGTCAGTCTGGGGCAGAGATTAGGATCTCAAGTGAGCTTTCATTGGAATTGTTCTGTTTATCATAACTTACAGACACTCTCCCAGGGTTTCCTGATATTATAAATTAAGAAGAAACAGGCCCTCTCAGAAGTCAGATTGTTTTTACCATAGCAAATATTTTCATCTCTTGGGCTCGGAACCCCCAGTCCCAAGGCTTGTGATAATGCCAATATTTGTAAGACACATTTTAGTGCATTTCGGAAAGTCATTTATTATGTCTGTTGCAGGAAATAGTGCTGGCTCATAAAATATGCTTGTTAATATTTACTTAAGTCAGTAAGTGAGAGGAAGCAGTTCCCTCTGTCCTTCTTCCCACAGCTGCTTGAATCAACCAGGCTTCTGGTAGCTTCTACCCAATCACAGTGCAAAGCTGTGTTTCTTCTCCAGGGTGACGGGGCAGCTCAGGAGGCTGGGGTGGAGGTGGGCAGGTGAGGCAGCTTGAGTGGTGGGGCAGAGGGAAAGCAGGGAGCGATGGCAGTGGAGGTGGAGACTGTGCGTTGGTGAAGAGGGAATGGATGGAGAGAGGCGGAGCAGGGAGGACACGGGCGATGGAAGTGGGAAGGGGGCTAGCCACAATAGTGGGATCGAAAGGCAGTGGGGGCGAGGAGAGTGGATGTGGGTGGGGACAGGGACGAGACTGGAGTTAGAAGAGAAACTAAGGGGAATGGATGAGATAAGAAACAATGAGACGAAGATGGACGCACATGGGGTGAGGCCAGGGTGGGGAGAGGACCGTCTAGCTGACGATGGGGCTGACACCGGAGATGACACTGAACGTTTGCTTGGACAAATGGAGAAGGAGAGTGGGAAGAGATGTGAGTTACAGATGAATGGGATAGAAATGAGAATGGAATGAGAGGTGAGCCTGTTGCATGGGGCTTGGGGAAAAGATTCATTTAGTCCTTCATTCCCAAATATTTGGGGGCAGCAAGTGTGTGCCGGGCACTATTCTAAGTGCTAGGGATGCCGTGGTGAATAAGGCTAAGTACCTTCTCACGTGGAACTTACATTGTAGCAAGGAAGACAGAAAATAAACACATTTGTTATGGATAATTACGAGAAGGGCTACAGGCGAAAGCAACAGAGGACGGTGGATGGGGGACACCACTCTAGAAGGGTGGTCAGAAAAGACCCCAGAAAAGAACAGACACTGGGGCCGAGTAAAGTGAGCCAGGAAACTGTGCCAAGGCCTTAGGAAGAAGAGCTTCCCAGTGGGGCCGCGGCCATGGAAGTCCTGTTCCTACCCAGGGCCAACCTCTGCTTGGGGAGTAGATCCCTTCCTCTCCCAACTCCTCAAGGATTCTGTTCTTGAAACATTTCTTTTCTCTTGCCTCATCAATGATTTCCGCTCTGTGGGTCAATCTCACAAATATACAGAAATAATCAGCTGTTATTTATTGCATCTTTTTTTAAAAAACTCTCATGACCCCAACTCTCCCTCCAGCTAGCATCCACCTTACTGCACCTTTTTACAGAAAAATTCCTTGAAAGAACTGTCTACCCAACCAACTCCAATCCTCTCTGCTGCTCCTTCTCTCTGGAACATGCTCTAATAAGCTTTTTTTTTTTTTTTTTTTTTGAGACAGAGTCTTGCTTTGCCCAGGCTAGAGTGAGTGCCAAGGCGTCAGCCTAGCTCACAGCAACCTCAAACTCCTGGGCTCAGGCTATCCTGCTGCCTCAGCCTCCCGAGTAGCTGGGACTACAGGCATACGCCACCATGCCGGCTAATTTTTTCTATATATATTAGTTGGCCAATTAATTTCTTTCTATTTTTATAGTAGAGATGGGGTCTCGCTCTTGCTCAGGCTGGTCTCGAACTCCTGACCTCTAGCAATCTGCCCGCCTCGGCCTCCCAGAGTGGTAGGATTACAGGCGTGAGCCACCGCGCCCAGCCTCTAATAAGCTTTTGTCTATAGCGTTTCCTAAAGCTGCTCTTGTCAACATCATTGATGACCTCTTATTAAGTCAATTCTCAGACCTCTGCTTACTTGATTTTTGATGCAGTTGGCCACTTGCTCCTCTTTCAAACACTCGTTTCACCAGGCTCCCAGAATGCTCCCTTTTCCTGGTTTTCCTCCCCTGTGACCACCCTTTCCTTCCTGGGCTCCTCTCTCCAATGTCTTAATGCCAAAGATTCTTGGGCCTCTTCTATTATCTATCCACACTTACATCCTCAATGCTTATACCCTCTCTTATGGTTTTAAATTCCACCTACACACTGATGATTCACACATTTACAGCTCGAGCTCAGATCAGTGCCCTGAATCCAGACTCAGACACCTAATTGGGTTTCGAACTCCTGGGTTTTTTGTGGGTTTTTTTTGAGACAGAGTCTCACTCTGTTGTCCGGGCTAGAGTGCCCTGGTGTCAGCCTAGCTCACAGCAACCTCAGATTCCTGGGCTCAAGCAATTCTTCTGCCTCAGCCTCCCGAGTAGCTGGGACTACAGGCATGCGCCACCATGCCCAGCTAATTTTTTCTAGATATATTAGTTGGCCAATTAATTTCTTTCTATTTTTATAGTTAGAGGTAGGGTCTTGCTCTTGCTCAGGCTGGTTTTGAACTCCTGACCTCGAGCAATCCGCCCATCTTGGCCTCCCAGAGTGCTAGGATTACAGGCGTGAGCCACCACGCCCAGCCCTAATTGGGTTTCTAATGGGGATTTCCATCAACACGTGCCAAACTAGCTCTTTATCTTCCCACCCAAACTCTTTCTTCCCACTACCTTCCCTTCTCTCTTGGTGAAACTCATGACTTCCAGTCACTCTGGCAAACAAACAAAAAACTGGACTCTCTCCCCACACGTCCAAATCCATCAACAAGTCCTGTTGTATCTGTCTTCAAAATATGTTCAGAATCTCACCAATTCTCACTATATCCATCATCAGTACCCATGTCCAAGTCACCATCATCTCTTGCCTGGTCATTATTGTCCCAAAAAAAGAACAGTCAGGAGAAGGAGGAGGAGGAGGAGGAGGAGGGAGAGCGCAGCCCAAGCAGCAGAGTGACGGGGCCGAGGGGAAGCTCCAGGTGGTTAAACACTATTGCAGCAGAGGGTGGGTGGCAGACAGCGAGGAGAGCCATGCTGAGGTGGGGTCTGGAGCCAGAATGTGGGAACCCTGGAATGCCACCCTGTAGAGCTTGGATTTATGCTGAGCCAACGAGGAACCATTGAAACCTCATCAGGTTGGCTTCAGCTTAGAAAATGGGTTGAGGAAGTAGAGACTGGAGGCTATTGCAGTGAGAGATGATGGTGACTTGGACTAGGGTGGTGGCCATGGAAATTCAAGACATCTA